ATTGTATTCAAATAAATAAGCAAGTAAGTGCTCTCCCCTTTTCTTCCTCGGTCCTCGCTGCTCTGGGACCGGGAACCGTGCCCTGTGCTCCTCTGTCAGGGGCGGAACCCGGCAGAGTCCCCAGCACAGATACCCCTGCGGCGACGTCCTCCCGAGCGGCCAGGGGTGCCGGGAGGCGGCCTGTTTGCGAGGCCTTTCCAAGCACCAGGAGAAGGTCAACTGCAAGGGCAGATCTGGTGGGGAACACAAAACGCTACCACCCGGGACCAGCAGGGGCCGCTGTCCCGCGCAGGAAACCCCAGCGTGGGGTGCGCATGCGCCTCGGTCATTCCTCTTCCAGGAAAGGAATTTAAACTACGCGACTAATAATGACGTATTAGCTTCAGGACGGTCACGTGGGGGTCACGGGAACACCAGCCTGCGGCGGCTTTGAACGCTTACTAAGAGCGATTGAACCAGCGCTTATGGATTCAACGTGCTCTGTCAACGGTTAAGGCACCAGAATCTCGGCTTAGGGCCACCGCCCCTCATGTAGGTGGCGACCCGGGGGGCCTACAAACCACACGTTGAAATATCGTTTGCTTATGTATTTTTTAAGTTTATTTATTTTGAGAGACAGAGAATCCGAAGCAGGCTCCGCCCTGTCATCGCAGAGCCTGACGCGGGGCGCGAACCCACGAACAGTGGGATCATGACCTGAGCCGAAACCAGGCATCAGACGCCTAACCGACTGAGCCCTCCCCAGGCTCCCCACGCATGGAAATATTTTTAAAATAATGAGGCAAGGGGACAAACTATTAAGTTGTGTCCCGCCCCTTCCAAGCAGTAAATAAACCGGGTTGAATTCAGAAATCTCGGATTCTGGCGAGTTCTGGAATCTGCCGGGCCTTAGCCTCCAGCCCCACCGTGGCTCTCCGTCCCCCCCGCCCCCCACTCAGCTCCATCCCGCCCCCCGAGGGGCTCACGGGAACCTGGGGATGTCCCCCCTACGGTCACAAAAGCCACCCCCTGGGCCTCAGGGGACCAACCAGCCGCAGCGTGGCCCGGGGGAGGGCAGACCCTGACGACAGTCTTGGGCCGCCTGGGGAGGGCATTCCAGAGCCCCCGGCACGGGAGCCTGGTCTGGGGGACGCCCCCAGACTCCTGGTCCCCCGGGAAAGCCAGGGGGCGGGGCTTCCTGTCCGCGGCTCAGGACTGATGTGACCGGAAACGGAAGCGGAAGCGGGTGGCAGCTGCTTCTCGCTGAGAGCTCCCTCCACGCCGGGGTCCCTTCTCGTGCTTTACACACGTCCCTTCACTTAATAACAAAGTCTGCCCTCAACCCTGACTGCCCAGCGGCCTTTATGTTCCCAGCTCAGCAAGACCGTCCCTCGAAAGCCCGTTCTCGCCTAGAAGGGGGACCTTCGAAGTTCTAGGCAGAGAGGAGTCAGAACCTCACTCAAGCCGCTGCCCACGGATGGGAAGATCCCCTCCCTGTCACCTGTGGTGACCAAGCCGTGGGTAGAAGAACGGGAACTGAGAAGTGACGCGTGCGTGTCAGCCACTTCTACACAGACAGGACAAGGGAGAGCACTCTTGTCCAGGAAAATATCTGGGAGCCCCAGAACATTCCAGGCACAAAGGAGGGGAGGCTGCAAGACTTCCGCTCAGAAAAGGAGGTGGGCCATGGAGATGGGAGCCCAGATGAGCCTGAGGAATGGCCCCCTGGCCTGTGTACGACTGCAGAGGACCACGTACCCCGCTAAGGGGGTGTGGATTGGCTGAGTGGGGAGGAGGGAGCGGTGTCTGTAGGAAACCAGGAGTATCTAGAAAACCTCTCCTCCTTGATAAAGTCAACTAAGGAGGAATCGGTCTGCCTCTAAACAGGCTGTGTGGTGACGTGATGGCCGGTACAGCAGCAGCTATGTTATGACCAGGAGAGGACAAGCCGAGGGCGTTCACCCCCAAAGAGGAAAGGGACCCCAATCCCCGATGACATCCCTGAGCCACGGAACTCCGGAAGTGTTGCCTGTGGGCTTGACGATGTGGGTTTGAGGGTTTGAGCCCTTTTTGCTGGGATTCTCCATGGCCCACCACCCAAAGCTTCCCAATGACAGAGAACTCTTTCCTGCTCAGATGCAGTTTCTTTCCTACCGAGGGACTTCACACAGTTGCTTTTCCTGGAGAAAGTAAAGGGAAGGCAGGCAGGTGTCCAATACCACGTGACTTGAGAAGAAATCATCTGAGGAGGGACAGTTATTTTTTCAGTTTATTTATTTTGAGAAAGAGGGCACTTAAGTTGGGCGTGGGCAGAGAGAGAGAGAGGAAGACACAGAGAAATCCCAAGCAGGCTCCACGCTGTCAGCACAGAGCCCAACGAGGGGCTCGAACTCACCAACCACGAGATCACGACCCGAGGCAAAGTCAGACGCTTTACCATCCTAGCCACCCGGGCCCCCCAGGGACGATTCTTGTGAGAGAGAAACCCACTTGGAAGTATTTAATGAGACAAAGGGCATCTGGTTAAACTGCCCTTTGACAGAGGCAGCAAGGGACAGGCATCAAGGAAAGGAGGCTGTCCCGAGTGATCTGGCTCTTGAGCCGAGGCTGGTGAAGACGTCGGTTTTCTTCTGGAATCCTGGCCCCGAAGTGCCAAGGGAGCTCTCCAAGCCTCAAGGCCTCCATCTCCGCATCGGGAATACGGACGGAACCGGTTTCTTGTCCCGCATGCGGGACAAGGTCAAAGACAAGTGCCCTCAAGGCCCAGGCCCACGGAGCCCCATCTGTCGTCCACAAGAGCAACCCCCACCCAGCGAGCCAGAGGCCGTGCGGTGTTCATGCAGTGCACTGCTTTGCGGAGGACGACGAGCCGGATGAAAAGGCTCCTGATAAACTCCTCCCCGGACAGCAGCCTGAGCCCCGCTCTTTGCCAGAGCCCATTCCCCACCCCCCCAGCTAACAAGAACCCACCCCCGCCTCTGCCCCCCACCTCCCGGCTCAGGGGCCTCTGGGGGCGCCTCACCCATCCTGTGAACCACCCCCAAGTCGTATCCTCGCTTTCCTTCCTCCGCTCCTCCTCTGGGCCCAGCTCCAGGCCCCACTGTGCCCACCAGGCGCCACCCCCCACCGGTCTCTCCTTCCCGCCACACGTGCGAGACAGCACAGGTCATGTGCAGCTGCCCAGGGAGGGACCCTGGACACACTGCTCTAAGCAAGGAACTCATCAGGATACACAGTGACGCACATCAAGGGGACCGGTTAGAATAAATCCACTTAAAGTACAAACACGAGCCGGCTGTTCATGCGGCAGTATGTTTACAACCGTTTATATACACAGTGGAGAAGAGAAAGTAATCAGACTTCGTAGCCCTGGGCCACGAGTATAAACAAGGACGCTCTCCGTTGGGTTTTGTTTTTGACTTTGCCATTAGGATGGATGTTTATATTCCCCCAAATTATAACTTCTGTGTTGACTCAGAAATCATTCACTCAGAAAATATCTCTTATTGATACAGAGAAAGCAAAGGCATTGCCCACGAGAATAGAGCCCGGGCAGTGCCTGCCGTATGGATGGCACTTGAGGAAGATGCGGTAACTTGCCGACTGGCGCCCAACCCAAGGGCCGACCGATGATCTGAGCTACCACCTGGGGGCACGCAGCACCTGCACAAGTTAAAAATAAGTAAGTATATAAATCAAGCTGAGATGCCTGGGGGGCTCAGTCTGTTAAGCGTCTGACTCTGGATTTCGGCTCCGGGCATGATCTCACGGTTCGCGGGTTCGAGCCCCGCGTTAGTCTCCGCGCCGATAACACAGAGCTTGTTTGGGATTCTCTCTCTCCCTCTCTTTGTCTCTCTGCCCCTCCACTGCTTGCGCTTGCTCGCTCTCTTAAAATCAATAAACTTTAAAAAATAAATCAAGCAGATATATGAATACAGTCACTGAAACTGCCATCTGCTGCCAGACACTGCAGAACGACAGATGGGGGGTGAGGGGGAAGAAACAGGAGAGCTGATTCACTGCATCCCGGGCCTCTCCTGATTTGCAGTCCAAATAATACATTCTGGGTTTGCAAGCTGTACAAGAAAAGCCCGGATAGGGAAGGGGTAAAAAAGGAACACCCTTGGACAAAACTTCAGCAGCCAGGTTGAGAGGCGAGACCATATGCATGTCTTTGGGTGGGTTGAAGTCTATTTTCTCTGGGTCCATGGGTTATTCTTGCACCCAAAGTTTTCCAAAAAAACGTCAGACAAGTTTACCACAGCAATTAAGCTGTCTGCCATCTGCAAGAGGCTTGGCTTCAGGTTTGCTGAAGTTAAATATATTTTGAAAAGAAAAAACGAAGACGTTTCAATGTTTTGCATATCGGTCGGGCTCAGCAGCGTGAGATGTCAAAGACTCTTCCAGGAGAAAAGTTCTCCCTGAGGAATAGTTTAGCGTCGGCATGCTGGTATTTCAAAACCCAGGAACACGCTGAAAATGAATTATTCCTTAAGAAACATAGGGCCTCATCTTGGGATTGGAAAACTCAAAACTTTACGAGGAAGTTCAGCCAAGTAGCTGAGATTAACACCCTATACCAGCTTCCCAAATAGCAAGTTATTTTCAGAAAACCAGACTCGGGTATTAACTGTCACATTCCCGCCCCACAGTTTCTGTAGAGTAAATAAATGTCTAAAATGATTCCTAAACCTGTGGCTTAACATCTGAGTGTCTGCAAAGCCTTATACTCTCCCAACAAAGGGTCCTCAACGAACTAAGGCTTTCTCAAGAAAAGAGAAGTTTGCGTTGTCCACATGGAGTACACGTGTGCCTGGGAAGTTACGGTTCTTTTCAGTTGCCCATCTTTGGCCCGGAGTTGTGTTTTATTCTTTCTTGAGAAAAAAAAATATTCCAGGAAGCAAAAAGGCATAGTTGAATTTTACCCTCTCGTATGGGGGCCGGGGGGGAATAAATGCGTCTTCCTCATTTTTTCCAAGAATGAATGACTAGAGCTTTCTCTCATTTTCTAGCAGTGGTGTGCTGGCAAACCAGCTCTCCGAGAGGAAACTCAAAATCCTTATTGGTAGCATTAGCCGATCTCCATGAGGTAATTATTTAATATTTATTTAATATTATTATCGTTGTCCACAACATGTATTATTCATCCAAAAATGTAAATAACCTTACAAGTATTGATAAAATACCAACTTAAAATACAGACAATAGCGCGCCTGGGGGGCTCAGTCAGTTAAATGTCTGACTTCGGCTCAGGTGGTGATCTCCCGGTTCATGAGTTCGAGCCCCACATTGGGCTCTGCACTGACAGCTCAGAGAGCCTGGAGCCTGCTTCAGATTCTGTGTCTCCCTCTCTCTCTGCCCCTCACCTGCTCATGCTCTCTCTCTCTCTATTATAAAATAAACATTTAAAATTTTTTTAAAAAAAGAATCTTAGCATTTAACAATAGGAAAAAATATGCAAAGATAAAGATCTCTAAAAATACATCAGTTTGGAAATTCTCTCCCATTCTGGGCACAACTTTTTTAAGGTAGCCGTAGCTTACGAGAGTGTCCAGGCAGCCCAGCCAAGATGGTGCCAGGCATTGGAACCACGTGGTTTGGGGATGATGGAGAGGAACCCAGGGAAAGAGGAGATAAAGATAAACATGAAGTGCTTTATAAATCAAGCTCTTCCAAGAGGATTGTCCCTTGGGAGAGGAGTTGGGAGTGACCTTCTTTTTTCTAAAGCCGCAAACCAGGTCTGTCCCAGGCATTGGATCAGGAGTTTGCACTGGAGACAAGAATCTATTCTAAGCTACCCTAAGTTTCTAAGTAAGGGCAAAGTGTGAGTAAAAGAGTGTTCTCCTGGAGATAATATGACCAATAATGGTCATAATTTGCATACTTAGACACCTGAGGGGGGAACTAAGAGTCAAAGTCAATGATAATCAATGGCCCTGGAGCTTCACAGACCACCTTAGACCTGCCTGCCACTCCAGGCACGAGTCTACCAGAGATGGCTCGGAACAAATTTACCCCACTGCCAGGAAATGTCCTGCTAAATACTCGCTCTATTGAGCCACCCTCCACCAAAAATGAAAACGTGCAAAGATGATATTAACATTCTAAGGTGAATAATGGTTTCTTCTCTGGCCGTTGTTAGAGTCATCACAGATGTAAGAAGTTTCCAGAGCTCAGGAGACATTCCTCTACCTGCACTGGTCCATCTTCTGCCCACCCAACCATCTGCCTCCCAAGGCTTGCACTCAACCAGGGCCACAAATGGTAAGACCACAGACTCTTGACTCGGATCCACTGACATTGGATTTTCTCTCACAAACAACCATCACTTTGCAGGTGAAAACTGCAATCCACCGATTCACCGACGGGTACAACACGGCGCAGACCTCAGAATAAAACCTGAAGACCTTCCAGGTAAGGGTTTTTAGGCTCTCAAAGGCACTCTGAGCTTGAATCATGGCGCAGGCGCTGGATGCTCCTCTGAACTGACCCTGAATTTGAGACACACTAGGCCGGCTTGGCCATGCAGTTGTATCCACGGGGCCCTCTCGCTCCCCGCATGGTACCCACCGTGTGTCGGGAGGCACAGCTCCCCCACGGAGGGCTGACGTTCCTGACCGGTGACTGCTGACAGTCAAGCTTGCCCATGGTGACCTCGCCCCCAGCAAGGGAACTGACGTTGCAAAGGCCAAGCTTTGGGGCCTCGGGTGGGGCTTTCCCTGCTGACCCTTCTGCTGTGAGGTAGTGACCTTATTCTATTCCGGACTTGAGCATTTTATCTTCTCAAAGACCACAGACATGCTACCCTAAAGTTGGGGGAGCCCTGGGCTCCCTTACGAAAACAAGGAGTGAGTGACAAATGAAACCTCCCTGTGATCGTATTGAACAGCCTCCAAGGAACATAGTGGGAACCCATACAGAAAACCAGAAGATTCGCTATGCACACACGAGGGGACCCACAATCAGGCCATGGAAGGAAATAAACTGGCACCACATTTTGCCCCTGGACAAAGTCCCCCAGCTCTGGATTTGGGCCTCTGCAAATGGTCCCTCTGGTGACTTGCTCAGGAGAACAGTGACGTGGGAATGAGCCCCCACCAACACTCATGGGCTATCGCTCAATGCAAATAGCACCCATACCCCAGCACCCCACCAGGAGCAATGCGTGCCAGGCTCTGGGGAGGGCGGGGAACTGTGCCAGGCTCATCAGGCTCTGGGGGAGAGAGGGCAGCTTGCTGGCAGCCTCACCCTGACTTTGTCCCCAGCTGGGGTGCGCTATGTGTGTCCCTGAGGATTCTAGAACCTCCACCCTCAAGTCCCAGGAGCCCAGCATTGGGGCCGGCAATTTGGGTGCACGGCACCACTGCACGTGAATGGTGAGCCCTCACCCACAACAGCAAACCCCGGGGGCTTTCCCACCCACAACTGCCAGGTGGCCCACGCGGGAGACACGGGTCAGAAGAAAAGACAGGCCAGGAGCCTACTGTGACACCCTCCTGCAAACCTCACCCGCTCTTCCAAGCGTTCTTCCCCATCCTCAGAGAAGCTGAGACCTTGGGTCCCCAGGGACTAGCAGCCCAATCATGCCTTTGTTGTATTCTATCTTTTTTTTTTTTAATGTTTTATTTATTTCTAGGAGAGAGAGACAGCGTGAGCAGGGGAGGGTCAGAGAGAGAGGGAGTCACAGACTCTGAAACAGGTTCCAGGCTCTGGACTGGCAGTCAGCACAGAGCCCGACGCGGGGCTCGAACCCACGAACCGCAAGATCATGACCTAGGTGAAAGTCGGACACTTAACCGACTAACCCACCCAGGCGCCCATATACTTTTTTTAATGGGGTCTGGTTGCGAGGGTTCATTTCATGTGTCAACTTGGCTGGGCCACGGTGTCCAGCCGTGTGGTCCAACACCCGTCTGGATGTGGCTGTAAAGGTATGTTTTAGTTGTGATTAACAGTTAAATCGGTAGACTTTGAGTAAAGCAGCTCTCCCTCTGCAATGTGGGTGGGCCTTGCCAAATCAGTTGAAGGCCTTAAGCCAAAAAGACGGAGGTCCCAGGAGGAAGAGGGAACTGTGCTTCTAGGCTGCCTTTGGACTCCAGCCTCAGCATCATCTCGTCACTGGGTCTCCCGCCTCCTACCCGGCAGACTTCAGATGTGTAGATTTTTAGATAAAGAGATGGATGGCCCCGAGCGTTGCACCCCAGGTGCCTGGCCGACCTCACAGGGGCTGCAGGGAGAAGTCCCTGGGTCCCCATGGCCCCCCTCACCTCTAGCATCTGCACCCCACAGGGCCAGGTGTCTGCTTGGCACCATCTGAAAATCTTGAGGGGCTCACTTGGCATGAACAAGGCCTGGGAACCATCTGCAAATTTCGGTTGACCACGCTGTCCCCCAGAGAGTCAGAACCTTCCAGAACCCTGGGCCTTGCACCGATCTGCCCAGTAGCTGGTGCTCCTTTCCGACGGCCAAGGGCAGCCCTGAGCAGGATGCAGAGGACCAGAGCATCAGGCGCGTGCCGCGGCTCCACCCTTCCAGCCTCTGACGCTTCTCCTTCTGGGCCATTTACCATTTCTGGCTGATCTGAGAGGAAACAGCCGCTCTCGGATTGCTGGGCCATAGAGCTTCGAATGTGTGAAGACTCGAGTGTCCTACGAAACCCCAGCTCCGCCAGGCGTAACCCAGCACAGGGCTCGCACCGGCCCTCCGAGGCGCCCCCTCCTCGGCGCCCTGGAGGCTCCTGGTTTCCGTCTGAAACCCCAGCAGCGGCCCCAGCTCCTTCCTGGGGCCTTGAATGCGCCAATGCCCACCCCCTGCTGGCATGACCCAACAGATACAAAAGGATGTCCCTGGTGGTGCCCCCACCCCTGCCCAGGCCCCCTCCCCCTGGAGGGTGCCCTGACTCCTCTCCCCTCCCTCAGTCACCGCCACGAAACAGGGGAGACGCAGAAGCCTCTGCATCTCGGTGTCAGGCAGGTGGCACCCAACGACTTAAGAGTCTCTTAGGACACGAGAGGCCGTGATTGAGAGTCTCGATTTGTTCAAAAAGCTTTGAACCGTCCACACTAAGTGCAGAACCACAGGCCCACCAGGCTCCTCCTGAGAACCCACCTGCTGAGATAAATCCGCAATAGAAGAAGCTGGGGAGTTGAAGAGCCTCTTAGGGGCTGTCAGAACCGCTGTGGGTGAACCCTCGGGGGGTGGGCCTGGGGTGCAGGGTGAGGGGCAGGTAGGAAAGCCAGCCGAGGGGTTCAATGGGGCTGGAAGACGCTTTTGGCTTGTGGCCTGTTCTCTCCCCTGGAAGCATCCGGGCAGATCCCTCCCAGGCCCCCCGTTGCACTTGGCCGGCTCAGCTGAGGACCACAGCCTGTGCCGGGGATTCAGGGTCCTCAGGACGCTGGAAATAGAAACAGCCACTGTGCACACCCTTGACCTTGGAGCCCAGAGCCCCAGGATCCCCATCATCCTCACCTCGGGGAGGGGCCTCCGTGCCCTGGCGGAGCTCCAGCAAAAGATGTACCTCCACGGCTCTCCTCAGGGCCCTTTGCGGGAGGCTGCTTCCTTAAAAAGGGAAGTGCCTGAACCAGAGAAAGAAGGGGGTGGGAGGGGGCTAATGAGGGAGAAGGGGCTAATGAGCCCTGTGCACGAGAATCCTCTACGTTCCTTAAGCTCACCCCCAAGGACCACAGTCAGCCTGGCCTTGTATCCAACCCCGCCTGATGAGAGTAGTAAGGAGGTAAGAATTAAGAAGATAACCTTCCAAGTCTCCCCAAAGAAAAAGCGGATCACCTACCGGATTTGCTCACTCGAGATGCCTTAACAGTGTACCACAAATTGGATGGCTTAAAGCAACAGAACTTTCTTCTCTCATTGTTCTAGAAGCCCAAGAGCAGAAGGTAAGCAGGGCCATGGTCCCTCTGGAGGTCCTAGGGGAGAACGTTTCAGACCTCCCCCCCCGCCCCACCAGCTTCTGGGGGTTGGCCCCCATCTTTAGCATCCCTTGGCTTAAGGACACATCACTCACTCTGGCTGTGCCTCTGTCCTCCCCTGGCACCTCCTCTCTGTATGCTGAGTCTCATCTCCTTTTCTTTTTCTTTCTTTCTTTTTTTTTAAATGTTTATTTATTTTTGAGAGAGAGAGAGAGAGAGAGAGACAGCGTGAGCAGGGGAGGGGCAGAGAGAGAGGGAGACACAGAATCTGAAGCAGCTCCAGGCTCTGAGCCATCAGCACAGAGCCCAACGCAGGGCTCTAACTCACGCACTGAGAGATCATGACCTGAGCTGAAGTCGGACGCTTAACCAACTGAGCCACCCAGGTGCCCCTCATCTCCTTTTCTGATAAAGACCCCATCACATTAGATTAAGGACACCCCTTACCCCAGTCTGACCTCATTTAACTAATCACATCTGCATAGATCTATTTGCACATAAAGTCGCATTCACAGCTACCAGGGACTGGGGCCTGAACATATCTTTTTAGGGGGACACAGATCAACCCACAATACCTACAAAAAGACAAAAGTAAGGTTTTTATTGGTGCTTTCAAAGGTAATGGATGAAAGAAAACAGTAGAGTAATAGCTTAAATGTGAAGGGAAGGCATGTATAACCTAAAACATACACCTAATTAAATGATTGCTTGACACAAGAAAGTAACATTATTCTTGTACAAACACCGTTTCAAAGAGTTTATTCCACAAAAGCCTTCTTTGAGAAAATTCCTGAAGGGTTTACTCTGGCAGGGAGAAAAAAATGAATGCAGAAGAAAGCAGAAAGATCTAATAAGTAGGGATCAGTATAGAATTTTGGAAAAGAAAAAACATGTCAAAATTAGCAGTGAGTCCAAAATCCTGGATTCTCGAGCCTCAGGTCAAGTTCCCCGAAGCAGAGCCTGAGACAGGGTTCTTGTAAAGGGCGTTTACGGAGCAGCTCAGGGAGGGAGCGTGAGGGAGGGAGACCAGGCAGGCGAGGCCGTGGGCAGCCGGAATCCAGCTCCAACCACCTCGCCGGTGGTCTGTCACCGGCCAAAGGCTGCCTGGGATGGCGACAGCGTGGGACCGCTGAGGACTCTGGGTGCTGAGGAGGGCGTGCTCCCCACCTGTGATCCAGGGGGGATCAGATCGGCCCCAGGGCCACCTGTCCTCACCCCCAAGGAGGACCCGAGGGACAGGCCACCAAGGGCGGGCACATGAGGAGGGCAACAACATTCCTGGAGCACCTCCTAAGATGTGATTTTTGTTGCTGTCTTGTGTTTTTTTAATTTTTTAAACGTCTATTCACTTTTGAGAGACAGAGACAGAGTGCAAGCGGGGGAGGGACAGAGAGAGAGGGAGACACAGAATCCGAAGCAGCTCCAGGTTCTGAGCTGTCAGCACAGAGCCCGACACGGGGCTCCAACCCACACACTGCGAGATTATGACCTGAGCCGAAGTCGGATGCTCAACCGACTGAGCCA